CATTACATATGATATCAACAACCACATATATATTAATGAAAACACTAACAATACTTATGAACCAGTACAATGCGATAACAAGTATTCGTTGATACTGAAACACAAGTTCCTTTGTGTTAGAAATAACATTGATACATTTGCAGATGCGGATCTGCCTATCATATATGCGTTACCTAAACTACATAAAAATCCTATAAAGTTTAGATATATTACTGGTGCCCATAAGAAGTAGCATTAAGCCTCTAGCACAAGAATTACACATTATTTTCACGCACATAAAAAATCACTTCGTTAATTATGTCAAAGTAATACAAAACAGAAATAGAACAATTAAAACATATTGGTCTATAAATAACATTAATATAAGTCAAGATCTTAACAATATCACATATGAAAATCTTAAAATCTACACAGCAGATTTCGCAGACATGTTCACTAATTTAGAACATACCATCATCATTAGGAACATACAGCATATCTTAAACATTTGCTTAAGAAATGTGATTAATAAGTCGCTAATAGCCACTACGGCTGATGCGCACAAGAATGATACTATTACAGTATTTGGTTTAAGTCCGTCACACTAATTTAGCCAAAATAGATCATCTACAAACCCTGCTGCGATAAATTTAATCCATATTTGCATACCCCTCCCCGATTATTTGTAAAAAACAGTTCATTGTACATGTTGGCCCATATTCTACAATTATCAACTACAAAACTAACTAGCGCAGGTACCTTGTTCACATGGGTAGGTAATTTCAGTCCGCTTTTGGATTTCAAGTCCACAACTTTTTTTCTATTGCGTTAACACCCTACTCCGTCTAAATGGATATATCAATTATGGCCCAAACTAAGGTTAAGTTTAAACGACATTGACGACCCGGCCCCCGACACGCGTAACTTTTGGCTTTTTTCCCTATTTCTGGTCTCGTGTGGAAATCGATCCCCCCAAAGCGCCGATTTCTCGAGTGCGACCCCTGACAAAGAGAACGAGAGACCGCACCTCGGACCCGATGGCAATTTTTACTATGATCAGAAACCCGTTTTAAACCACGATCATTGATAACAAAACATTCCCTGCTAAAACCAGTGCATCGCTAGAAGGTTCATAGAGTATATAGTGACGAAGTTCCGATTAAAGAACATGTAATGGTAATGAAAAAGGAAACTTTAGTCATTTTATCTGTAGTGGATGCCAAAAGCTCTTTTGATGTGGTTATACCAAGTGAAAGCATGTATTTTTCTGTCTCTTTAGATTTGCATTTACTTTCACTACCCTTTTTTATTGACGTGTTCATGAGAATAGCATGAAAACTATTAATGAACCAAGCCGCCGGTTTCGGTGAGCTTGGAAAACTTCTTCTAAACTGGAGCATATTTGAACAAACAATGAGACCTATGTCGTTCACTAATTAATTAGTTCTTAATCCATTAAAGAAAGAGAGAGCAAGCAATTCTCGGGACCAAACAAGCTAACGCCGCACTTATCACCACGCCCTAGACAATGGTCAACGATAAGGTGAACGCTCACATGCACACTCCGGTAACGCGTCTCAACCTGTCCAATGCGGGGGAAGTGCGCACCACGTGAGACGCGTACCCGCGTGCAATATGATGTAAGTTTAATAAAAATAAGTTATTCATTCCATTCAGATATATGGATGATTTGCTAGTAATACATAACCAAACCGAGGATAATATTGACATACAACTAGCAGAAGTGTACATGAATACACTTGAATTAAAGAAAACACATTTAAGTGAAACATCTAGTAATTATCTGGATCTAACAATTAGTATAATAAATGACAGAGTTGTAACCAAGATTGTATAACAAAACAGATGATTTTCAGTTTAATGTCATCAGATTCCCACACAATGACACGAATATCTCCATAAATAATAAAGGCTCCGTCATATACACTGAAACACTTAGAATAGCTAACACTTGTTCTGATTTAGACACATTTACTGATAAACTAACAGAAATTCATAAGAGTGTTTACTAAGAATGGTTTACATGAACCCTGAGAAAACTTTATTATAACCCATGATCTTGCCTTAAGTATTCTTTTATGATAATAATATAGAGTTTATATTAGCCAGGCCCAATTTCTCACCAAAATTGCGGAATACATATAAAAACGTATTAAATAAAGCCTTAAGTGGTAAGGAAATACTTACGAATCACTTAAATAATCAGTAATATACCCACAAAATATAAATGCGTCGTCGAAGATTACAAGGGTTATCTGTCGCCCAACCATTCACCGCCATCTGCATCATGTCCCCACCCCTATGCTATACGAAGTTAATACGCGTCAAACGCCCACCTTTTACACTTTATATTTTACATTTAATCAACTTATATTTTCATTCATTTAGTCAATATACAATTCATTTCATTGCATGCTCCTCTGCATGATAAGTACGTCACATCAAGGTTTATTCGTCTTTCCCCTGTGTCTTTATTTCGCCAATCCCAACTCACTGATGAGCTCCGGGGATTGACGAAATAATAAGGTTCGTCTGAGGAAGGAGCGAAACGAACCGTATCAATTATTTTGTTTATAATGGTTTTTCTTTCTTAATTGGACAAACTCGCAGTATTCATCCGACGAAGCATACCGACCAAGTGGTGTGAATACACGCTGCATCCAAAAATGGGAGAAGCGTTGCGGCGTCGGCCTCGCCGCTACCGCGGCGAGGCCGACGCCGCGCGCGCTTCGCGCGCAGGGCAAGGGAGGTAAACTCCAACATGCCGCCCAAGCACGCGCGCGGCGAGTTCAGCGGGCCCACCACGAATCACTCTTTGCCGGTCTTGGGCACGGTGAAGAGTGGAGCTCTGCTGAACTGGTGCTTGAGCCATCCATCCACGTTATCCATAAACGGCGCCTAGTATAGTGCGCGGGGTTGCTCGACGCATTCTCTCCCCCATGAGAGAGCGCAGAGAAAACGAAAGTGGGAAGAGAGAGTGTGTGTCCGTGACTTTCATACGAGCTCGGATACGGTAGCGCGCGCGCGAAGTAAGTGGTGTGAATACACGCTGCACGCGGACAATCTGTCTGGTTAGCTTTGCTCCGTATCATTCGGGCCACTGTCCAAGTCCTGTGATCCGTCGCAGGTTTCCGCGCAAATCCAGCGAAGAACTCAGCCACGGAAATCTTGCGCGGCGCGGACTCGCGGACTCTGAAACAATCAGGTTTAGGCGTCCAGCCTCAAAGAGAGTACCATAACTCCTCCTCATATCGCCAACACCGCAACCCAGGTGCTCCAACCGAAGAACGCAATCGCCAGCCCCCGAGTGGCCTGTTGAAGGGGCAACGACAACCTTCCAACTCCCCCGCTCCAATGCTAATCTATTAGACCCCCCCCACCCCCCTCCGTCCTTATCTGTGGCCATGTGAAGTTTGATTGGGCGACGCATCCTCTAATATCCTACATCCTGAGCAAGACCATGAAAGTACTTACCCTCCAAGTAGTTGCCATAGCAAATCGACCTGTGTGAAATAGTAGCCTACATCACCATACTGGATTACCACTCTGGTGCCCTGTGATATTGTTTCCACCTCCGCCGTCCCATCTCCCAAAGGTAAAACTCCACAACCCTCCGAGCAAACCTATATTTGAATTTACTTCACTGCTAGGTAGCTCGCTCTTCTCCCAACTATTCATTACAGTGTCTTCTCACACCCATGCACTTAACAAAATGATAAGCAAACACATCGACATACCGACAAACAGGCCCGCCAAATAAGTGATAATATACTACATAGAGTGGCATGCAGATGGTTCCAAAGCATCAGTTCAATCGCTCAGCATCGATTTTGTCTTCAAGTTCATTCCCCAAGGAAGACTCCATCGAAACAGCTCTAGGACTGGACGCTGTTGGAGTTTTCGCTCGTGTTGGCGTAGGTGGTTTAAGTACTGACAAAGAATACATCGAACCTGTAGGCAGGAATTTTGCGGTTTCTTATTTCTATGATTTCTGACGTCTTTTACCTGTATTGACGCGAAGCATTCCAGGGCAAGGCGCGGTTTTAGATTTAATACTTTTTTACCTGGTAAACGCCTCATTTCTGTTCATAAAGCTCCACTATGAAAGTTGTGCCCTTTGATTGAGACAAAGTTCACCGATGATGTCAGTTCTCACGTGGTCAAGGATTTCGAAACGGGGCGCGGCAGCTGTGCGAGTTTGCATCATTCGTTGATCGATGGTCACTTGCGAAGCGCGGGTTGTAGTCTTGAGAGTTCGCTCCTATTCCACCTCTTCTCTGCAATTTTTGTTTATTTTACTTTATTAAAGTCTTTACATCAGTGCTGATCAGTTTTTTCTTCGTACGCACGAGACATTTTGCTATTTCTTAATTCAGCCTCCGTTGGGTGCATTGCTACACGTTAAGTACGTTCTGGTTCATGTGCTGCACGGATACAAGTTGAGCCAAAATACTTGAAAGCAAATGAAGGCTATGTTGTTACATCCGAAGTTGGGGGTTTTTCTGGAGAAAGGACCGCTAATGAACGGCCATGCTGATGCCACATGGAATGAAAGGGAATTCGGGATAGCTACCTAATCGATTTTTCTCTATTCCAATCGTCGTTCCCTATTTCTCATTTGGTCACTTAGTCATCGATTTACATGTTCTGCAATTTTTGTTTAGTGTAAAGTCTTACAGTGGTCATTGAACTGCTGTGCGCGCAGGCACCCGAAATAATAGTTGTGAACAACAGTGAAAATGATTGCAAACTTGTGCAATTCATTAATACTAGATCGAATTACGCTATCATTTCATGGCTCCTTAAAGCTCATCATTTCCATACCTGAAAGGCATGGGCAAATTCCACGCTCATCATTCAGTGCGAAATCTTGTGCGTGTTGAGGAGGATCTCCATTTGTTTTCAACGTGCAATGCGTTGCTTCATTTGTACCTATCACATCCCTGTATCTTGGTCGTTGTAGAGAAAGGTAACTCCATTCCGATTCTCCCTCCGTCACAATGCTCTCGCGATTCGCGCTACGGCCATCGCTCTTGATTTCGCCGAGTGTTCGCCAGTTATCCAAGTCGGTCCTGAAGACGGCCCGTATGGGACGTAGCGGAGCGACCGGCATCCACCGATTCGGTGAACAAGCTGTGAGTTGTTTACTTGGTTTGTAACTTCCACACGAAGAAGCTCCTTTGTAACGGTTATCAATTTGTAGGGAATTGGTGTGCGTACTGGGAAAACGTTGAAGGAACGACTCTTAGGACCAACTACTGGAGCACGTGAGTTGCAAATCGACACCATCATTTTTTTTGCATTCTGCACATTAACCATTGAACCGCAAAAGTATTGAATTCTATTCCAGCTTACATTTACGGTACCTATGCGCTGGCTGGAGCTTCTGTGTTAGGCGTTGGTGCGTTGATGTATTATGGACTAGTTTCCAAGGAGCAGTCAATTCTTCAGTCTAGCGCGTAAGTTCCCTTTTTCGATTTTTTTTCCTTGTTCAGAGCAAATTGGAAGCTTAGTTGCTTTTATGCCATATTCTCACTAGGCCCTTAGTTCCGATATTGCAAACAGTGACCAGTGATGGTTTGTTTGGAGGGGGCTCGTGTAATGGCCTAATCACGGGTAGTAATTTGTGGGCCACACTTTGAATAAGATATCCTTATTAGACGTGACAATGGAGCGTATTTTGAGACTGAAATGGCTTCGTAGCTGTTGGTGTGAGAGCCTAGAAAGCATCGGAGAAACTCTGATTGTGAGGTGGCATTTCCGGGCGCATACTAGATTTCGTACGTCTGGAGTGGACCAGCATGTCTATGCGCAAGAATGACAATCAAGCTCGGAGCTCTAAAAATTTTGGGCGGAGATTGCGTAGCGACGACTGGCTTGACAAGTGCCTTCTGTGGGGTCTCAGGCTTATTCCACCACCCAACTAAGCCTTCCTTCTTTTATTGTTGAAAAACGAGACATGTATGAAAAGATAAAAACATTGTTTCATGCGTTGGCTGGCGTAGGCAGCTTCTGTCCTCACTGGTAGGAAAGCTCAAGGTTTGGGATAAAACCCTGGCTCAATCGAAGTGTTTGGCTACAATTTAGTATATTAATAATATCATCCGCATTGCACAGTTTGCAAAATAACAGTTATCAAAGCAAAGCAGATCAAAAATTGGATTTTTTCTAAAGATTTTGATTCAGACTTTGGCCAGCGTATGTTCGCGAACGACTTTCATCGACGTACTCGTATTTGGCGGGTAGTTTGGCGGTGACAGCAGCTAGTGGAGTTGCAGCATCCCGTAATGCAGCAATTATGCGCCTCACACAAGCAGGTGGAGTCATGGTTAGTGCCGTCGTATTGACTGTCGGATCCTTTTTTTCGTTTTTTCTTTGTTCGTCCATAGTCCTTGTGTTCTGCTTCTGGAAAAATCTTTGGACGAATTGATACTCTAGTAGTCAAGCGTTTTTTCCACTCTTCATGAAATCATGATTATTTTGCCTTGTGACAGTTCACCAGCATCAAGCATTTTTCGTTCAGAAAGTCAGCAGATATTCCTTGCTTTTCTCATCATCCAACATAATTAAAACATTTAATAGGGTCTTTTCGCAACGTTAGCGGTGATCATTGGAACAGGAATGCTCTGTCGCTCGATCGACTATGACAGTACTGTTGCCAAACATCTGGCATGGATGCTTCATTGTGGTATGCATTTGTCGATAATTAGCACTGAGCTCTGTATTTTTCGTTGTCCATAAATGAATGGCTTTAGTCTCTGTCGTTCAGGTGCCATGGGTGCTGTACTTGCGCCATTAGTCTACATGGGTGGGCCAGTGCTAATGAGGGCATGGGTACACTGCTGTATTGTTGGCGAGTAGGTTTCTTCTAATTAAGAAACAGTGCTTTGGGTCCGTTGCTCCTTGCGGCTTTGCTCGAAAGCTGAAGACGATTATATCGAGTTTTAGCCTTCTGCAACGTATCACTGCACCATCTGAGAAGTTCTTAATGATGTCGGGTCCTCTTGCCATGGGACTGGGTGTTGTGTTTGTCGCTAACATCGGAACTTTCTTCTTCCATCCAGGAAGTGCTCTCGGAGCAGGTTTGTATTACTTTATTGAAATTTCTCGTCTAGGTGTCAAACTGTAAGGCCGTGTTCATACTTTGCGACCGTCTTGTAGTTCGAGAATAGAGTACGTGTCGACCACGAGATTCTGAGATCGCAAAATCGCAGGATTGATATGTATTAAGTACATGGGATATTGCTATGGTATAAACTGCTACCACGTTTTAACCTGGTTGCAGTTTTTTTTATCGCAAGGGCTGGGAAAGAGTTTTTGAAAAATTTATCGATCAAAAAAAATCTCAAAAGAAATGGGAAAGCTTTGGGGCAGTACTTGTTGTCCAGTTTTAATGCCAAAGTATACATGAAACGAGAGCGGAATTGGTGGTGTAAGTGTTTATAAATGTATTCAGGATTGATGTCGATTGTGATGTACGGCGGTCTAATTCTCTTCTCTGCATTTTTGCTGCATGATACACAACGAGTTGTCCAGCATGCTCAAATCTATCCGCGTCGCGAGGATATGTATGGAATGCAACCGATCAGAAGTTATGATCCGATCAACGCGTTAGTTTATTTTAACTGTCGTTATTTGTTCAAATTTTTGAATGTGATTGAGAGAGGGACGGTTGCTGCTTTATTAGAGAATTCCCTATTTTATAAGGTCCTCATACAATCTTCTGCATTTTCTTTCTATTCCTGGTTGGTTTATTTAGCACGAAAATAGAGTATTGATGCCAAGATCTCAATTCTGGCTTCGTATAACTTCGTATAATGACCTAGAGAACCATCCAGTTTGTTCCGATTTCGCAGGCAACGGCGCAAAGGTGCTAAGTTTCACATATTTGTGGGTGTCCTTAGTTTAGTCTTAGTTCCTTTTTCATTTTGTCTCCATTATCAGTTCATTTCGCACCTCCGCTTTCATTTTCGAGCGAAATAATCTTACCAGTTTGATTCAGAGGTGCCGTCAAAAGTCTCATAGAATGTTCTGCATGTCCTTTTTTCATGGCTCGCAGTTTTGGCAGAGTAATATTCTGAGCAGAAAAACTTCTGTAATTTTCTCAAGAAAGAAAATGCTCAAAACCTTTTTTTTCAAAATAGTGTAACTGAGAAGTCCACTGTGTACTGTATCGATTGATCATGATTCAGCCAGCTTCTATCTACATGGATGTGTTGAACATCTTCATCCGAATGGCGATGATCATGGGTGGCATGAGTGGAAGTCGAAGGAAGTAATGAGATTTATCATGCAGTTCCGGAAACGAAAGAGAGCTTAATATTGATTAGAAATATCTAGTACTCGTCTGTGAATTTGTGAATTGGTCTTCAAATGTATAAATGTGAATAAAGAGGATATTTAGTATGTACTGTTTTATTATTTTTTTAATGAGAATATACAATCATGCCGCGATTAATAGAGAATCATTCATGCAACTTTAAGTATTGCTTACTCTTCAAACTCTAGTGACGGCGGCGACTCGAGCAGAACGGTATTCTGCAGGAAAAATGGGTGTTCAGTGAGATAGGCTCGTGAATTTACTCATTTGATGGTCAGTGGATCGTAACATGGTGAGAAAGACAGATGGTGCTGGGATGATTTTCATAGGTATTTAAGGAGTGAGCTTTTAGAGAAATATTTGTATTATTTGATTGCTTGATAATATTTCACCGGCCCAGAAGAAGTCGCTAATTCAAAGGCAATAAGCGCAATTGCCTGCGAAGTGAAGCAATTATTAGGTTGGAAAGAAAGTCCTGCAACACTTTTTCAAATTTTTGATTTTAATTTTATCTTTTTTGGTTACAACTTCTGACCGGTCTTATATCTACCATGAGTGTCCACCACTTGTCTCCATCGCTCAGAAAATTTCTTGATCCTCCTTTGCCAAAACCCAGCGGAGTGCGAGTCGAGAAAGGAGGCGACCTCACTTTCGAGTTGGAGTTGATCGTCTGATTATTTCGTTATAAAGATGATGATTAAAGGTCCAGGATAGGTAGCACTTCATTTACAGCTCGACCAGGGGATTACGCTAAGAGAGGAAAGAAATCTTGCCGCAACTCCAGAATTTCTTACCGGGCTCATTTCGGATCATGGTGATTCGCAATGTCATGAAAGAAATGAATATTGTCGCGGTACGAGGGCTCTTGACGAGCTACCTCGGCCAGCTTCTGGTACTCCACAACCTAGGCCACTGCCTACACAATGGTGCCCATAACGAAGGGTATGTAGTGGAGCTTCTGTAAGAGCCCTACCTGTAATGGAGTGTGAGGGATGCTGCTGGCTTCTTATAAAAATATCAAAGATCGGAAGCGCTGGTAAAGGTGAAACACGCTGTAGCGCTGAACGGCATGCCATTAGAAGCTATTGCAGATAGTGTCAGTCGTTGACACGAATCCATGGTTTTGTAGACATTTGTACTAGACAGTGACTCGGAGTACGGATTTGCTAGTGGTCGAGATTTTTTGAATTTTCTTGGATAACTACTGACTGCAGAACTTATATCCACCTCGTGGATTGAAGCCTTGAGAATGCTCTATCATTTGGTAGTCATAAATGTTACCTATGAATTTTTCAAAAAAAGAAAATTTTGGAAAGAGTGTTGCAGAACTTTCTTTCCAACCTAATATTACGGCATGTTATTTTGGTGAAAGGGTGCTTTGGGGTGGGCCAGACCACGCAGCCAGCGCGCGTGTATCAATTTTAGCACGACGTCATCAAAACCGCTCCGCCTATCAGCGATCGCATCCACTACCTCCAAAATAAGCCCAGGAATTGCGGATAAAGAGCGCTGGAAGTGTACGCACCGTCGGAACTGCGGCACAACAGGAACAGCTATAAGGGCACCTGTGATTGGAATACTTCCTTGAAATGTGGTCTGTTTTTGTAGCAACACATGGGCACTTTTGCGGCATTCACAAAATGCTGTCCCATTGTGTGGAAGGGCATGATATGCAAAGAATCTAATTGGTTCTTCCAAATGCTCGTAATAGCAAGAACACTGAGTG